ATTGTTTCGTAAAACTGTTGATTCTGTTAATTGTGGAGTGGTTCTTTTCCATATGCTGAAGAAATGTTTGACCAAGTTCTGGAACCTGTTGCGAGATTCCATGGATCTCTCTCAAAGTTTGAATCAAAATATCTGCTCTTATGACAGGGTCTTCAACAGATGCTGGGAACATCTTCATAGAGACTGGAACAGGGAAGTCTTTTCCAAACACTTCCATCTCCTAGATAGCAAATTTCCAGCAGTTTCCAACCAAGACTCACAATTCTTAATGCTTGCATTTTCAAACTTTTTGCAACATTAGACACCATATCATCTTCTAGGGGCACAAAGACAATTTGGAATCCCTGCTGTAAAGATGGAAGCAGTATATCATGCAACCTTGCAAGAGTTCCGAGTAAATCCTCATTTCCGCAGCTGCAAAACAGGATTAACATCAATTAGGGGGCTAGTGAGAGTTCATATTCGAAGTCAATTACAAACTTCTCATCGTTAGAAATTCAGCACCAGAATCTTTTACCGATTATAAAATACCTCACTTCAACAGCAGAGGAGAAGAATATGGCTGCCAGTCTGTATGCAGCAACGAAAGAGTCCAGAGTGACAATTGCATCATAGATAAAATCAATCACCTGTCCAGAAAATTATATTAGTAATTGCAAAAGTGACAGACAGGTGTATCTGCCCTTGCATCATTAAAAATTATTTTTTTTAGCTTAATTGATTATTTTAACTATGACCTAACAGATTGAGTTGCAACTAATTCCTTGAAGAAACCCACATTCGAAATCATGTAGGCAGCTACATTCTTGAAAATGACATGAGAAATGCAAACAATATTATAACTAGCTTCTCATGATGTCAGAAAGAGAGCGTAAACCTAATATACAACATTTTCCCTAGTTCAGGTTCACCTACCTCCAAGAAGTCAGCTTGAAGCTTACTGTGCCCATGGCCACTGGTGGAGATGAGAGTCTGCATTAAGAAAATGGAGAGATGTCCTCGATGAATAAAGTTCAATTCTAGGTCATCACAATTTGCACATGGTATTCCATAAAATGATATACCACTTGGAGTGGTGGAGCAAGAGAGTGAAATGTGAAACATGCACCTCTTTGAGTAATATTATAGAGCGGCAGCCAAATCATACCAAAGGTCCCCCACAAATGAAAAATAGAAAATATTCACCCAACAAGTATTCAACCTCGAATGAATGCTTGTCTGAGTAACGTTGTATCTTTATTTTTTATGTATTCCTCGAGGCCAAGAGTTTTAACTCAGGGTTGAGAAGTTGAATTTTTAGTTGATTGAGTTCAGTTAATAACTCCATTTCGCAGAACAATGGGCCTAGGAGATAAGTTTTGGCATCTGAAGAACTAATTATCACCTTCCACGTTCCCTTTTTGTCCTCATTCCATGTTGTCTAAGCCACATGCTCTTTAAAGTGTTGGATTTAAATCTTCTCAAGGGCTTCGGCCTCCCCTTGGGCAACATCCAAATCAACCATCTTCACTATAGTTTTTGCCCTTTTCAGACACCTAAGCTGAACAACCTACCAGAAGCATCCAATGCCTTCGTATAAACTTCTGGTTTAAAGATAAAACTCCCAAGATCTTTTTTTTTTTTTCCTCGTATCATATAAATAAAGCTCCCTAACTATGGGATTAATTCAAGAAAAAAAAAAAAAAAAAGATCCTTTGACTTCAATTCATAAGAGCATTTTTTCAGTCTCTTTGGCAAGAGTACCATAGTGTCTTCTATAACAAAGAAAATCCCTTCACTAGTTATAGAAGTGGTTCTTTCTTGGTGAAAAAATTCTTTTCATTGCAGTATTAATTCTCCTATAGCATTTCGTCATTATTATTTTTTTTAATTCTCATATAACCACTTGGAACAACTTTTTGGAATTTTCCTTGGTTTGGTTTAGCTTTTCTCCCCCTAGGATGTGATTTCATATCATCTTTGAAATTGTTTTTTCTTTCCTTTTTTTTTTTTTTTTTTTTGTTGAAATCATGTCTACCAAAGAAGCTTTTATTTAGAGAAAGCAATAGGATATTCAATGACAAAGAAAAGTCCTTCACTAGTTTCATGGAATCTCTTGATAATCAATCATGTAATTACTATTATTCTGTAGTGCTAGCTAACAAGAGAATATTTTGTAAGCCCCTCGGCTTGGGAGGAATACCCTTTCTTTCATCCAATTTTCGTGCCTTCTTATCATCAAAGAGATCAAAAACTAAAAAAAAAAAAAAAAAAAAAAAAAAAAAAAAAAAAAAAAAANTAACTTTTAGCCGTAACAGGGTATTGCAAAGCATATCCTCTAACATCAACTATCAACGCGACATATTAATTAAAAGAATACCTCAAGAGATGAAGTTCACCTTTGATGCATAGAGACAATGCTGAGGAAGTGAGATATAACTGATGGTAAATTTTCATGAATACTAAGCTGGGATTTTATAGCATTCTCAACCTGGAAAGTGTGTAAAGGCAGTTTCAAATTTAAACTTAAAATAGAGGAGTAACATATAGCATTTCATTAAAATCAGCTAAAAACTTCCAGTGTCTCGCTTCTTTAAACTATCGAGAATATTATGCTGGTATTTTAAAACATTGTCAAACTGGAGAATCCTTCAAGGCTATTTCAACTTACATAGAAGCACAACATACAGCATTCCATTAAAACCAGCTAAAAATTTCTATTATTTTTCTTCTTTTTATTCCCTTACCTTAATACTCTGCAATCAGTAGAGAAAATAATAATCAGTATGGGTTTCATTAACAACTATTTTCTTCTTGTATTCTATCTTTCCTAGAGAGATAATTGCTCTAACAATCTAATAAACTTCGAAAATCACTATGACATCTGCTGGAGAGAAATGCTCCAATATAACATCTAAAAACTCCAAACTTGTATCCATATAAATGTGAATTATTTTGAACTAGTTGACCATCATCCAAAAGTTCGAGGATCAGAAGCGGTAGAGTGAAAAACTTTGGAGACATCACATATGATCATTACAGGATGAGAGCCAATAGGCGCTACTGAGCAAGATGGTTACCAGTATTCTAGTTAGATCTTCATTCTCGTGATTATATATAGCACATATATCAAGTAACTTTGGAAGGTCAAGCAACTTCTTTCCCTGCAGGAGAACTAGATAAAAAATTAGTGAACAACAGTGCACTACCATCACCAAACTAATAAACTCTGTTTCATTCTCCAGATGATCCTAAGAGAAATTTGCGGTTCTTCAAAATAATATACTCTCTTGATCAGACAAAAAGTATTTCAAAAAGCCTGATGATTCTTTGAAAAACCTGCTAGTAAATAATTGTATAAACATGCACCAACAGTCAGCTGGCTGCATACCATAACATGTTGAAACAGACCCATAAGAGGTACATCACATTTCATCTAGCTCATCTCCAATTATTAAGTAATATGATAAACAATTATAGATAGTGTTTATGGTCATGCTAAAAGAATAAAATGATTTCTTAAGTTATAAGTAGTGAAATTACCTCCATGATATTTTATACTGAGATTATCAGCAGCTCGCGCTCCAGGATCCCTATTGGAAGACCTGAATATAACTTGGCTAGTCGTTCAACTATGCAGTAATGTTCAATGTGAATATAACTCGGTTCTTAGTGGTGGAACTTACATGCGATACAATACCATGAAAACACGGCGGCATAATTCAAACTCTCCAATGATGACCCCTGCAACTATTCCATTTGCTCCACGATGTGGAAAATCATACCATCTACTCCTGAATTTTAGGAAGCTATCGAGAAATTCATGCAAGGATGTATCCCTAGCCACTGCAAGAAATCAAATGATGGGTGGACGATTAACTTCTATCGTCACCTTTGTCAATACATCAAAATCAGAAGACAAAGTTAAAGATTCCTACAAGAGACAAGCACCACCTACGGAGCACTTTTAAGGAAGGATATAAGAAGACAATCCTCCAGCATTATTTGCTTGATAACATCATAATATACTCGGTATAAGTAATTCATGTCTCTATCCATAAAACGAATCACAGGAACACATGACAATAATCAATAGCAGAATCACAATGAACATGCCCGCAAATTCTTTTAATTGTTACTGAATCAGAAAGGTGATCTCAGAAGCACACTCTCAGAAACTTTTTCCAAATACCTTCCGTCCAAAACTCTTTAGCACTCAACTTTAGCAGCCGAGACAGCTCTCTATTCAAAAGGTCTACGACTCTTTGAGATTCCACCGGATCCAACGCTCCTTCTTCAGCACGAAGACCAGTGGCAACGGCCTCGTCCTGTGGCAAGTAATTCACGAAACTACCACCACTAAATGCTAGACACCCAATCTCCACTCACACCCATATGAATCCTACTCAATGAAGGCGCGGCAGCAGTGCTTACAGCAGCAGAATCGGATGACTTGGGAAGCGAATGTCTGAAAGAAGCGGAGAGGGTAGGTTTAGGGTTGAGGAGTTGTTTTGAAGATTGATTTTGATTCTTGGGGATGTACTTATTCTGGTCTTTCCTTAAACCCTTGTTTCCATCTTGGTTGTAACGACTCGACATTCTGTATTCAGATGAGTGCGTTGGTGATTGGAAAGGAAGAAGAGCGCGCCAAGCGGAGGGAGGAGGACGACGACGAGGAATTACTGGCTTCGTAATTTATACCTTTCTTTGGCTATGTAATAATATGGAATCCTCTGACGAGCGGCATCGGGATCTTTAAGAATACTCATTAAATGACAGAAAGATATTTTGGACAAAAAAAAAAAAAAAAAAAAATCTATTTTTATCCCTAAATTAGGATAAATGTTACAATTCTAGTGAACATTTATATTTAAATTTAACAAGAAACAGATCACATTACACATTGCTTGATAAGCAAGTTTGCTTTACACAGTCGTTGCTGCTTTGCATGTCCTTGAGTGTTGAATCAGATTTTATTCTCTTTCTTCTGGATATAGTTGATTCACCTTGTCAATGAATGCATTTTCAATTCACCTTCTTAGATTTCATTCAAACAGGTTACAAAGTGAGCATGAAAAGCCATTAGTTTCAAGAAAAGTAGGCATCACCAACCCAGATGATCAAATTACAGTGACAATTCCTCAAAATTACAGTCAAAATTTGTATGTTGCATACAATATTAACAATCTCTCGTTAGTCTGATATAAAACTACTCCACATTCCCCTATTTGGCACAAGACTCTGAGCAATCATACTCAAACCCATTCGAAGTTTGTTTCTTTCGGAAGAACCAAGCCAATCAGACTATCTGGCGGACCTGGTGGAATTGAGAGAAGAGAACACGAGTCCTGTGAATATGGAAGTATAAAGAGAAGCCTAGTCCATAGCGATTTAGTGGCCGGTATCTTTATTACTCCCGCACAATCCCTTTGCTTCAAATATGATACAAAATCTTGGAACTGCCAAGATGACAGGGTATGATTAGAATATACTGCATATTCAATGAATAAACAGCCATGTTTTTTCCCTCTAAACCATTCAAATGGAAAAGATCATAAGCCACTGGGAGAACTAAAGAAATTGATATAAATATAAAGTGCAAAAGTGCTTACTCCTTTATGATCTCCACCAGAAGATGGGATCAGCTGACATATCTCCCTCTGAGAAAAAAATTAAGAGGATTGTTAAAAGCGAAGGCTAAATAAGAAATAATGCACAACTAACAAATAAAGGGAGAGAAAAGGGTCTTGCATCTCTACTAGATTTAAAGTAAGTAAACAACATGGTTGCCCTCGTTCATTGTGCAATAATATATCAGGCTTCTTTGCTTCTTTGCTTCTTTTTTTTTTTTTTCCCCTTCTTTGTTTCTAATTTTTGAACTTTTCCCTTGGGAAAGATCTTCATCTTAAGAATGAGGTACTTACTTTATTTGGTGAAGTGCTAGTGAATGTCGACTTCACATGCCTGAAATCTGTGCGTTTGGTCATATCTAATTTTGTTGGCCACCTACACCAAGAATTAAGTAAAACACTTGCAGCACTAGTAAGAAGAAAAAACTAGATACTGAAATGGAAGAGAAAAAAGAGGGACCAGAGTTTTTACTCGAAAGGTTCTGGACCAGCATTGAAGTATTTGCAAGTATGTGAATCCACTCTTTTTGCAAAAATTATACAGTACTGAACCCCGCTTTTACACAGGGCACCTTGCCATTGATACTGGACAGGCTGGCTACTACTTTCCACTTCACTTGTTCCAGTGGCAGCTAGGGGTAGAGGTGGAGGCGGAGGAGAACTGGGTGGAGGAGGAATATTAGGTGGTTGTGAGTGAGGCAATGGTGGTCGAGATGGAGGCATGGGAGGAGGCATCTCGGGCTGGGGAGGTGGAAGAGATGATATTGATGGCGGAACAACAGGATGGGGAAAAACATGGTCTAGATGCTGCTGCTGCATTGGAACTCCTTGTATCTGAGCAAGTGGTGTCACAGAAGCAGGTAAAAAAGGAGGGCATGCAACAGAATTGCCAGGGAATATATTAGGCATAACACCTGGTGAGATTGAATTTAAAGGCAAAGGATGGTTTAAACCCCTTGCATCCCAAGAACTATTTGGAGGAGGGTATGGAGATTGAACAAATGGAGGTGGCTGAATCTGCGGTGGAGGTGGTGGAGCGGGAGGCCCCATTGTTGATATGGGCAAGCATGGAATACTTCCAGACACTATGTGGCCACCTAAATAGAATATTAAACCAAAAAGCAGTAAATTTAATTAGTTTCCACAATTTTTTCTTTGTAGTTAAACAGAATATAATGTGTGAAGGGGAGGCGGGAAGGAAGAGGGGAATAAGAAAAAAGCCACCATCTGTAGATATCACCTTGTGGATGATCTATCAGCACGCTTTTTTCGTAAGCATCGGTCTTTCTGACACCTATTTCAGATATCTCTGTATGACCAGAAGGAGCCCAGTTTGACTGATATGAATACCCACCTTGCTGAGGCATTGCACGATTTTCATGTAATACTCTAGGAGATGGATGCTCCATAGCACAACTATCGTGGTTCCTCAGAAAAGGTGTTGTATGGAACCTTCCCGGTTTACTGTTCAAATACACAATAAATATTTTATTGACAGCTGAAATGCAACCTGAACAACAGATATAAAGTAGGAGCAAGAAAGAAGCAAAATAGAAGACAGCTGTGTGTAAACTGAATTTAAAAAGTAACAGCTGACTAGACATGATAGAAAGATCTCAAATGCTTTAAGAATATAATCAAAGGTGAGAAAAGGTAGGGGGAGAAATCTAGGAAAAATCCAGGACGACCAAAAAGAATAATAAATAAAACTAGCAGCTCCTGAAATATGACGAGAAGATTGTCTACCAAAAGGAAACAACAAGATAAAGTTCGGGTGGGAAAAACCTGAATTCTATTCGAAGGAAAATTCCAGGACAACCACGGAGGTTCTTCAAGACCGTGATTGCAGCATCCACACTACTGCACTCAACAAACCAACCACCGCCCACCTGTACACTTGCTCGAGTCATCCTGACAACAGACCCAGTATTGGTGATGGCAAGATTACAGATCTTCATCAACTCCTCATCGGTGACAAAAGGAGAACTAAAATTTGGGAAAGAAACCCAGAGAGTGTTAGTAGGAGTTCTGTCTTCTTCCCTCATGGAAGTGTTGCACCCTCCAGACATGTAGCTTTCAAAGTAACTCGAGTTTTGATTGATGTTGTATTTTGCACGCAGCGTGTAGAGCAAGGAAGATAGCTCTGACATTCTTGTCCTGAAGTTAGGACTCTCAGGGACAATTGGAGCATGAGGTGACCCAACCATACTACTGGACAAGTTTGAAGGATTGTTACTTCTGATGCTACCACCAGTAGGGGCACAAGAAGATCTTCCACTATCTAAATAAGGAGCAGCGATGTTAGTTTGTCCTGAATTTGAAGGTGGCCAGTGAATGTACTTCTCCCTACGATGTTGTCTGAGATGCGCCATTACAACTGCAGCATCTTCGGGAATCTCAAATTCCATCAGCAATGCTCCCTCACTGCTAAGATCAGAGACCACGTATGGGCCCTTGTTAAGCACTTTCCTTGTCTCATGCAGAATCTCATCCTTTACCCAGTGGCCCAAAACATTTCCAACATAAACATGCAAACTGGAACCAATTGCAACCCCGTGGGTGGAACCCCTAGTCCCTAAACCAATATCCATGAATTTTACACACCACTGAAATTGTCCACGCATATATTCACGTGCCCTTATTGCATAATTGATGTGACTATACTCCACTACTGCAAACCTTTTTAATGGAAAGAAGAAAAAATGTTCAATGTAACCAAACCTCTCAAATTGATACCTTATGTGAGCTTCAGATGCATCAGGACCTAAAAGACCCACCCATAATTGTTTAGAGGCAGAGAAGATATCCATGGCTGATGGATCTCCATCAGAAAACCACAAACTCTGAGAAGTTGTAGAACTACATGGCACTGATAGTTGATGTCTAGGAGGCACAAGATCATTATTGACATCTCCAATAGACGATCTCTGAGCAGGAAAGTTGCGATCGACACTTGAAACTTGATTCCCATCAGTTGAACTCTTTGTACATTCAAGAGAATTGCTCTGCAGGTCTACTGATGTTTTTGCATAAGTCAAATGATCGTGCTTGCTCAAAGGATCCTGTGACTGGGGCAAACTGCCATGTAGCCAACCTTCCGGCTCCCGAACTTCAAAGGCCATGGGTCTCAAGCTACCAGTATCCAAATCAGAACATGTGGTGTGCTTGCCTTCAAGAGGAATTGAGGAACGATGTTGACCAGAAACTTTGTCGTTGACACAATCTTCAACGGAATCACGATGACTCAATTTTCTCTTTCTATCAGAGAGTTCCATGGAAATTTCACTCCTGTGACGGGTATGCATTAAGGAATCAGAAATTTCCTCATCGATGTTCACTTGACTATCTTCATTGTTCATTAACTCAGAAAATGATTCAAAAATTCCTTCCAGGGCAGATCTTACATCTGCTAAAGCTCTAAAGGACGGCAGGTCACAGAGCCTCTTATACTGTGTAAACATCCAGTTTCGAAATGATTGATCGCTTCCAAGGACCTGCATTTAAGAACCCCTAGTACAATGATACATGAATGAGGGGAAAAAGAAGAAGAAAAAGAAAGCTTTGCATTTCAAACTGTGTGCGAGAGTTTAATCCTTCATTAGCTTCAGGGAAGAGACAGAGAGAAAGAAGAAGACAATGAGTAGTGATCATTAAATCAAACCAGGGGGTTTATTATGCATATTGTGCAACAGAAATCAATCGATCGAAAGTTAAAGAAATAAAAAGGTGTAATATACACAAAAGCCTAATTTTCGTCCGCCAATATGTTTGCAGTAATTTTTTTCATGTTCAAGTGCATATTAAATTCATCAAGTACTTCTGAATTTCGGACTACATCTCTGATACAGCTCTCTTCTAACCCAACCTAATGAATTGAGCATAAGAGGTTTTCCGTTCTCTATTTTCTTGATACTCACTGCTCATTTACAACCAAGAAATTGGAGAAAGACCAATGTAAATCATACTGTCGACAGATTTATAGCCATAGAAGGCCAACTTGAAAAATTCAGTAAAGTTGGTGTCAAAAGACTGAATAAACCTATATCTGATCATTGTTCCATTATACTTTCCATGAGTTGCTGTAAATGAGCCCGTCGCCCTTCCACTTTGAGAAAATGCAGCTGGACAATTCTAAATTTTTGCCAATGGTAGACTACTGGTGGAAGAATAGGTCCCTCCGTGGATGGTCGGGGCACGATTTCACCAACAAACTTAAAGACTAAAAGAAGTCTTAAAGAAATGGAACAAGGAGATTTTCGGTTGTATCCCCGAAAAAGAAACCAACTACTTATTGAAACTGCTCTCCTTGATCAGATTGAGAAAAGTGACTCTATTACACTAGTTCAACACACACACACAAAAAGGTCATGAAAGCATAACTTACTTCATTGGCAGCAAAGGAAGAGCAATCTTGGAAACAAAAATGTACAAAACGATGGCTGGAGGAGGGTGACATAAACTCCAAATTTTTTCTTCGTATCATGGATACAAAGAAATGAAAAAGTGCTATCATGGAAATTCTATCGACACAAGGCAGAAGTTTAATAAAACAAAGATGAAATTGTCTCAGAATTTGTCTTTTTACATGTCCTTATATACAAAGGATGATGCCCTCTTCGAATTTTCCTATGATCTTGACTGGAGTCCTATTGATCAACAGCAAGCTGCCTTCCTCGAGGTTGTTTTCACCGAAGAAGAGGTGGAGAAGGCGGTTCAAAACTCCAGGACCAAATGGTTTTACCTCAGAATTTTTTCAAAAATGTTAGAAATTTATGAGAGCTAATATCATGAGTGTTCCAAGATTTTTTTCAAAATGAAGTTATCAATGGCAACCTAAACGAAACATACATTTGTTTGATTTCAAAGAAACTGGATACCCACATGCAGACTTTTGTCCCATAAGTCTTACGACCGGACTATATAAAATCATAGCAAGGATATCATCAAAACGTCTTGAAAAAGGTTCTCCCTTTCACAATTACCGAAAAACAAACAGCTTTTGTAGAGGGGCAACAACTTCTTGATGCATCCCTCATGGAAAATGAACTCGTAGATGAATGGGAATGAAAGAAACAAATAGGTGTAGTCATCAAACTTGACTTGGAAAAGGCCTTCGACAAGGTTGATTGGACTTTCCTTGAAAACATTCTCGTGGCAAAAGGATTTGCCTCAAAATGGCGGAGGTGGATAAAAGGATGCATCTCATCTACAAACTTCATCATCATCAATGGAAGACTGAGAGGGAAGATTTATGCCACACAGGGTCTTTAGGGGACTCACTATCCCCTTTTCCTTTCATCATGGTAATGGATTGCCTCAGTCGCCTACTAACAAAAATAGAATATGAAGGCTAGGTAAATGGTGTTCAGAATGGTAATAAAGACTTAAGCATCAATCACCTTCAGTTTGCAGATGATACAAGCCTCTTTTTTTACCTGGCAGATGTCTCCTCCATAAAAAAACATGATCGAGACAGTAAAAACCTTCGAAAGTTTCTCTAGACAAAATATCAATCTCCAAAAACAGAGATTATAGGCATCAATATCAGCACAAAAATTATTCAAGAATTTGGTAGCATATATGGTTGTAAAAAAGGAGAATGGTCGAATATGTACCTAGGATTAACCTTCAAAGGAAACCACGAATCTTTTTCCTTCTGGAAGACTATTATTGAAAAAATAGAAGGAAGGTTGTCAACATGATCATCATGTTATACTTCGAAAGATAGAAGAGTCACCCTAATACAAGCCACATTATCCAACCTCCCCACTTACTACATGTCTCTATTCGAAATGCCACAAAAAGTGGTTTCGGATCTAGAAAGATTATTCAGGAACTATTTGTGGAAAGATGGCACACACCTTATTCAATGGAATATTATATACCTCTCAACAGAAAAGGAGGCTTCGGTCTTTTCTCGATAAAGAAGAAGAACAAAACTCTCATCGCAAAATAGATATGGAGACATCATCTCGAAGAAAATGTCTTATGGAGAAATCTTATAAAAGCTAAATATATTCCTACATCAGACAAAAATCAATCCCTCCATTATTTGCAAAAGGGCCTTGGAAGTACATAAAAAAACATCAAAAGCTCATCACCAACCGGATTCGCCATAGGGTGGGTGACGGAGGAAGCACATCATTCTGGACCGACCCATGGATTGAAAACACCAAGGTAACCCTACGGTATCCACTTTTGTACGAGAACTCTCATAGCAAAAAAAGCCACGAACAAAGAAACGTGGAATGTTGTCAACAAATTCTAGGATCTGAAGTTTGGTGGGAATTTAAAGGATAACGAAGCAATGGAATTGGCTGAATTAAGCCTTGACCTTGCCCCAATAGTATTGTCAAATGAAGCCGACTCACTAACTTGGCTCATTAGCACTGACAAGGTCTTCTCTACAAAATCCTTGATGATGGACATGGGGGAAAAAGTAGAAGCAATAATCTCACGCTAGCAAAGATAGTATGGAAAGAACATTACCCTAAAAAGGTGAAGTACTTCCTTTGGAAAATAGCGCATAAAGTCATTAGCACAAGCGACAATCTTCAAAAAACGAATACCTTACATTACTCTTTCACCAAATTGGTATCTATTATGCAAGAAAGGAAATGAATCACAAAGCCACTTATTTATGCAATGCTCGTACGCTCAGAATTTTTGGACAATGAGTTCCAATATATTCAAGTGGCATCTCACATTTTCAAGGGAGGTAAAGAATCTATTGGACATGGCCTTAACGTACCACCCATTCAAGAATGCAAAAGGCTTCTATGGAAAAACTTCATCATGACTTTCTTTTGGAATATGTGGAAAGAAAGAAATCAAAGAATATTAGTGGAAAAGACACACACTTATACAAAACTCTTCGACAATGTTGTTTACCAAGCTATATCTTGGTGTAAGCTGTCTAATATTTTTACTTCCTATAGTTATACTTCCCTCATTGTAAATTGGGAATGTCTTGGGATATTATATCCCTTTTGTAAATTTCAATTATCAATGAAATTCTCTTATAAATAACAAAATGAAATCATGTAACAAATCACTAGCTCAAATATAATGGCTGTCATTGATTTGGATAATTATGGGTCACATCACTAAAGTGATCAAGTTTTTCATGCACTAATAAAGAGGAGTAATATGTTGTTCTAATTACAGAAGGAAGACCCCCCCCCCCCCCCCCCC